AGGAGAGGTGAGAGTATTCACGTTGAGAAGGTTAGGAACATAGGCTCTTGAATTAGAAGTGAGTTCAAATCCTGGCTCTGGCACTTACTTGCTGCATGACATCAGGAAAATTGCTTACCTTCCTCTGCCTTTGTTTCCTTACCTGTACAAAGGGCATGATGGAGAACAGACTTGGGATGAGGGCTAAATGAGATAAGATGTGTAAAGTGCTTTGCACAGCGCAGAACATATTAAGTGCTCAATAAATGTCAACATTTTACTAAATTACATTTTTTAAACTTTTTAAATTAAATTTCCTAGCAAGTCTGTGTGATAAATATTAGTTTAATATTGGTCTATATTGCTAATACAGGTTTTATATTTTTCTCAATTTAAAACAGAAGAGGAGTTTTCTGACTGTTCAGTTACTAACAATTTCTCAATTTTGAAAAAATTAAGAAGCAAATGCCTGGCTCATTCCTGCCTCAGGACCTTTGCATCTGCTGATATCTCCTCCACCAGAGCACCCTCTGCCTCCATCAGAGTTTTGCACAGCCAGCTCCTCCTTCTCACTTAGGTCTTAGCTCAAACCTGCTCTGACAGCCTTCCTTGAATACCTTGTAGAGAGCAGTAATCTCTGCTCCCCCCGGTCCTTTCTGTTTTACTATGTTAAATAACCTTTATAAGTTCTGAAGCTATCTTTTTTCTTTACTTTCTAATTGACCATCTCTCTCTGTTAGAATATGAACTTCATAAAAGCAGGCTTCTCATCCATTATGTTCTCACTGATGCATCCCAGGTTCACAGAGTGGCACTAAGTGGTATCTCAATAAATTGTGTTTGAGTTAATTTCTCAGCTGCCACAGAGGAAAGCTACTACTGTTAAAAGCTGAATTAAACTTTTCTAGTCTCTCAAGAACCCAAACACTAAAATACTTCCCAGTTTGCAAGCTGCCTGAATTATGTCTTTTTAAAATTTCAGCATGTTTTAAGAATAATCAAAATACAAAAAATTTATATTTTAGCAAGTATATTCCTTAACTAATGTACACTTTATGAAAGGATAAGTAGCTATTAAAGAAAAATAGAAATCCATGTCATCATTAATTTTTCTTTAGATCTGAAGGACTTTATGAATTACTATGAGTTTAAGGAATTTGTTCCTTGGAGAATATAATTTTTTTTTTTTGCCATCTTGCTAAAATTGATCACAGATGGTACAAAGGTCACCTGCAGAGCAGGCTGTCCCCAAAGTCCTTAAATGCCAAGTTAATGAGACTTTACTATATAAAAATGAAAAGACCTTTTCTTTTCTATAAGAAAGAAAAGGTTTGGTCAGAAGTGACTATGTTCTTTTATATAACTTGGGACTTTAAATTTTATTTTTTTCAAATGATACTGGAAAAACAAACAGTGCAATGGAAAAATAGGCAAAGATCATGGATATTCTCAGAAGAAGAAATCCAAATGGCCACAAATATATGACAGCATGCTCAGTATTACTAATAATCAATGAAAAACAAGTTAAAATGACTATCATTTTTACTTATCAGATTTGCAAACATTTAAAAGATCGATGATATATAATCCATGTTAGCAATGATGTAGGGCAAAAATACTCAGATACAATTTTGGAGGGAGTATCTATTAGTATGTTTTTGGAAAGTAATTTAGTAGTATCTATCCAGTTTTAAATATGCATGTCCTTTGACCTGCAATTGGACATCTACAAGTTGATCTTTCAGGAATATTGGTCCTGGACACAAAAAGAATATTCGCTGCAGCATTGTTTGTAATAGAAAGATTAGGAATAACTTGGTTAAATGTCCACCAATAGGAATGTGGCTAATAAATACTGGTGTCTTAAAACAAATATAGACTAGGAAGCTTTCACAGAAATAAGGTAGCTCCTCTATCAGCATGGAAAGATGTCCATGATTTACTCTGTAGTAAAAACAACACACAGCACTACTAAAATTGCACTGATATATTTTTAAATGTTTTTTCACACATAAACCTATACACACAAACCCATTTTCACACCTAAATCCATTTTCAACACAACAGCCAAAGTCATCCTTCTAAAATGTAAGTCCGAACCTTGCTACTCCTTTGCTCAGCACCCTTCACTGGCTTTTCTATCGCTCAGATACAAAGTCAGAGTCCGCACCACGATTTCCACTCCCCACACGACCTGGCTCTCTGCTGCTGCTGCTCTGACTTCCTTCCTCTGCCCTCCCTCCATCAGCTCCCATCCTCCTGGTCTTCTTTTCAATGCCTCGCAGGTTTTATACTTGCTCTAACCTTTGCTTGGGACTCTTCCTCCAGATGTCCCCATAGCTGGTTCCTCTCATTCTTCACATCTCTGTCCAAATAACACTTTTCAATGACCACAGTCCCTAAACACAGTCTACGTTTTGGGGGAGTACACTCCTCCTCACCCCTCCCTATGCCCTGGCATTTTCCATTCCACTTCCCTGCTTACCTGTTCTTCACCCCTTACCACCATCTGCTACTTGGTATATTTCCTTCTTTATTGGTTTGTGATCTGTCTCCCTCCTCTAGAACTGTAAACTCAGTTTCAATTTTATATGTGCATAAAAATAGATGTGGAAAAATACACAGCAAACTATTGACAGTAATTATTTCTGGGGAGTGGGATTGGGAGCTGATGGTAAAATTTCAACCCTGTGTACATTTCTGTACCATTTGAAAGATGCATTACTTAGGTATTAAAAATTAAATAAAAATATTTTAAAAGAAAAATATAATGGACCCATCTGTCCTTTGGTGACTCAAAACACTTTTGGGGCTCTTTTCTAGAGGCAAAAAATAATTTCCAGAAAGCGCTATCCTGAGTTTGTCTCCACTGCACGTACCATCAGAGTTAAGAAAATACTAGTAAGCCTGGTCTTTACGAAGTTCTAACACCACTGACTAGACCAGGAATATAAGATACACACACACACAAACACCGTGGCCTGCCAGTGCCATGTGTCTGCTGGGTAAAAAGCCTTTCTAACTAACACACCTGACCCTTCTTCACATCTGCCTCCTCCCTCCAGCAGGAGGAAGGAATTTCACTGGTAGCTCCTCGTGCTGTTTCCTCTACAGGGTAAAATCTTCAACCTTGCTCTCAGGCCCGGTGAACCCGATATGGTCCCTTGTGGGCTACAAAATTCATCCAGTGCTAGAGGGCGCTCTTGAGACAAGACACACGGCCTCCCTTAGAAGCAAACCCAACCTAACTCACCATGATGGGCATCTCAGGCACACAGTCACACAGCTACATAAACCCTGGACTCAGTGTCTTTCACAAGTTGTCAGGGTCACGGGGCCTCTGTTAAGTAACCCCTGATCCTCACCCTTGGGCCTTTATTCCCCAGAAGCATACCCACGGAGGTATGAATAATATTCTCACTGGGAGTCGTTCCTCAGGGCCCTTGACATGAGTTTTTCCTGAATTCCTACCTGGCCACAGAGGCTCCCTGGCGAGCCTGCAGGGCCTATTTCTAACAGGACAGCAGCTGGGGGGAAAGGCGTACAACTCAGCTTTGAGAGGCGAGAAGGAGGACCAGCCTGCCTGTCCCTGACAGTTTCTGCAACTTAGCCTGAAAAGTAGGGCAGCAATAGCCAACTCTCATCACCGTTTTGGTATGGAAACTGGAATTCTTAGAATTTTAAATGAGAACAAACTAACCAGCTGGGTTGTTTTTATCTATTTTTTTTCTTTCTTTTTAAGAGAGTCAGCTGGAATAAAAGTCAAGACTATTTGAGATCCAGACCCTGGAGGACAGTTACACTTGATTTCACACTTGATTTTCATTACATTTTGGCGAAGCCACAGAGTTGGGCTGTGCTATTGCTGATAATTCTCCTGAACAAGTGCCCCTGGGCTCAGTGTTCCTTCTTCAGAAACACTGATTTATTACCCCTTAGCCCCAGCTTCATTTCTCAGGCCTTGGGATTCTAATGACACTTCAGAAAAGACATTGGTTTACTCTGGAGGAGCCTGGTTATCGAAATTCCCCATCCTTGAGGCTAGAGCACAGGCTCTGGAGTGGGACCATTAGTGTGCGCTGAGCACTTAGCCCACTGAGCCCCGGCTTGCTCCTCTGTAAACTGGACACAGTAACACCCACCTGGCAAGATGAGGGTTGGGATACAGTGCTTAGTGCTATGCTTGTGACAGGGAAGGACTCAATAAATCGTTACCATTATTACTGTAAAATGAGACCCTAATCCCCCCCCCATCTATGACTTCTTAGGTAGAACTTCTTATAATTGCCCAGAACAGTCTTTCACAACAAAGTAATAAATCTCAGGACTGACCATCCTGGAACCTCCTGCTCAGATTCCCCTTGCCTGGAACTTCATCAGAGGAATAGAAATCTTATTGCTCAAGTGCTGGGTCTCAAATTTAACTCTGAAACACACACACACACACACACACACACACACAACATACATGGAACTGACAGTACTAGAAAGTCTGGGCCGAAGCTCAGGGATCTCAGAAGGCAGCTGAGCGACCCCCAGCCTTGCCTCTGCACAAAGCTATGGACAGGAGTTTGTTCATTGCCACCATGGGTCAGACCAGAGGGGGATGATAGGGGAACCGTGATAGTGGAGTGTTGAAAGGATTCAAGGATGCCTTATACTTGCAGTCCTGCCCCAGGTGGGGAACCACAGTGCTCTGAAGACCACGGTCCCTCAGATCCTTAAAAGGCAATCTTCCCTCTTCTCATCAGCCCTGCCTCTTGCATTCTGTCCCTCAACTCAACAGACATGCTAAGTGTCCACCACAAGCCAGGCACTATGCTGGGTGCTGGGGGACCCTAATCCAGTAGGCACTTCTGACACCAACGTGTAGTTCTCAAATGAGAGTGGGTGACCAGGGTGTTCTCTGGAAGGAGAGTGGGAAGGAAAGGATGGGCCAGGCTTGCTTTTGCTTACCCTGACTACTCTGGAGCTCAAGACAGTTGTGTTAGCAAGAATGTTGCAGCCAGCAGGCCACTCACCACACTGGTTTCCTACATGGCCCTGGCCCACTCTACAGGACTCCACCCGGCGTTCAGACGTTCTGGGAGACTTCTTAGCCACTTCAAGGTCCATGCCTGAGAGCTGGAGGTGAAACCGCTCCCTGTGGACAGCCTTCCGGAGTGTGCGGGCAGCCTTCCGGAGCCGCTTCTCTGTTCGCTTTACGACGCAACTCAGATCACAAGAAGCTACAGAAAGGAGAGAGACAGCAGTGGGGGTAGGGGGTCAGGCCACAGCATGTGAGCCTGTCCAGACCAACTGCAGGACCCACCACCGCAGCTCTCTGTGGACAGGATGGGGAGAGATTCAGAGCTGGGCACCTGGCAGGCTGGGCAGCATTCGACTCAAACAGAAATTTGTTGACCAAAATGGTAGCTTTGGGTTTTGATAAAGCAAATAAAATCATCAGGTTCCAAACCAATTCAGTTTAGTCTGGGGGTTAAAAAAACAAAACAGGAGATACTTCAGTGGTTACACTGTTTTTCCCCCCAAGAATGATGAAAAGCGAAAGGCAAAGAAATAAGGAGCAAGCTGTGAGAAGCCTGGCACCAGAAACTGTTTTCAAACCAACCTGTCACCTCCTTTTGGTTAGTTTCAAGCTCAAACTCAACAGTGATAAACATTTCCCGAGTGGTGCTCGGTCGGCCAGGGGCTGCCGGGACTTGCTTGCCGGAGCTGCATGTAAGGTTTGCGTAGTGGAAGCTCTCTTTTACTGAGCTGTGCTTCTCTGTATGAAGAAACAAAATTATCGGAAGCCAAATCCTGGCAAAGCACTCAGCTGAGCATTCACTAGAACTCTGTAAACATTTCATTAAAACAACTCTCAAGGGACCAAATGATTAATTCCAGATGCCAAGACGTTGCAAGCCCTCAGTTTGGAGCACGATGACATTTTAATCTTGAAGAGCCAGTGTTGCCTCCTGTATAACTTTACCATGTAGCTCTTGAAAATTATTTTCACAGATAAATGCTGGATATTTCCAACCGACCGGCCACATATGTGGAAGATGGGAACCAGGGCTCGTCTTGCATTCCTGACTGGCAGTTAGTTTGTTAAGGTGCATTCATGTTCTCACAGTTGGTTTCTGTAAAGCTGGACTACGGTGTCCCAAGCAGGGACTGAGGCTTCCAATAAAGAACGAGCACAGGGGTAGAAAGGAGACTCCTGCTTTCAGGGAAACTGACCTTGGAGAAACTCCAAGCCGAAGGGAAAGCTGGAAAGCACATCAACAGTGCTGTCTCGTTTTGAGACAACCAGGAGCAATAAATGGCACAAAGAATCAACAGAACCAAACAACATCATGACGGCAGGTAGGATGGGAGTGAAAGTGTCACGTAACGCAGGGCTTTGCACATCCTCATTCCTGACTTTGGCCATCACTCCTCCCGCCATGGCTTCCAGTGAATCTCTTAACTAATGATTGTTAATTAGGACCAAAGAGCAGGTCCACATACCATCCACACAATTCACTTGTCTCTATTTTACAAGCCTACTTTTTTAAAAGGATGTATTATCTGTATTATATTCTTCTCTAACATTATAAGGATGTTCAAAGCAACAGGTCATCGGGGCCAAAGGAAGGACGAGGCAAATTAATTTCCCCTAAAGATCTACCTTACCTTTTCAAAAGGTTAACTTCAAATCTCAAATGGAACAGATGCTTATTTCGAACCTGTCTCCCTTTCCATTTTCCCATATCTATTTTTTAAACTTTTTATTTTGAAATAAGTTTAGATGTATAGAAAAGTTGGTAAGATAGTACTCAGAGTTCCCACATACTCTGCACCCAAGGTCCCCTAATGTTAACATCTTACATTAACATGTGTCTTTATCAAAACTAAGAAATTAACATTAGTACAATACCATTAAGTGAACTACAGACCAAATTTATTTTTAAATAATGCTTTCCCCCTCTGATATAAAAGCATAAATGCTCACTGTGGAAAATTTGAAAAATGCAGGAAAAAAAACTAGAATCACTCATCATCCTTCCACCCAGATATAACCCACTAATAAGGATATGGCGAGTTTTGTTTATTTTTCTCCTACTCACACTTCTTCTTACACATTTTGGGTTGTATTAGATACACAATATGTTAGTCTCTCTTTTTCCATCTTAACATTGTAACAAGAACATTTTCTTATGTCATTAAACATTCTTTGAAAACATATAATTAATAGCTACATGAATGAGGTGCCAAAATTAATCTTGGTTAGTTACTTAAAATAGGCAGTCAAAAGTGACAAGAGTACTTTCCATTCATTTGTTTGTATGATTTATTTGAGGGTAGATTGGGAAAAGAATACTCCCTAATACATGAAAACTGGTTTTTTTAATTCTCCAAAATTATTCTATGAAATAATATCGGAAATGTGAGCTGGGCAAGAAAGAGGAGTGTTGGATTCTGCTCTTTGCATAAGGCCATGTCTACTTGGATAGTATTTGTTCTGCTGAAGCCAGTGGCATCACTGCCTCCAAAAACTAGATCCAGCATGAAAGCTGGATATTACATCTTTGCTCATCAAAGATTATCCTTTCCAAGCCAAACATTTTTTTTTCATTTCTTTGGCTTAGATTTTAAGCAAACTCTAAGAACTAGAAAATTTAACCGACTATGATCACAAATTACTAGCACATCTTAAGCCCTTATTGATTCCTGTGAACTTGCAGGTCTCTCCAGAGCTTCACCCTTTACACCTCCCAAAGGATACCCTGAAGTATAAACCCAGGAGCATATGGGGGTGCCAGGCTAGGCTCTCTCCCTCTTGTGAAGAGAGTCCTTGGAGATTCTGAACTGTTTGATCCCATCTGCAGGGCTTGGCTTGGTACAGGCCCCTTTCCCAACATGCAGGCAAGCTCCCTGCACCAGCCAGCTGATTCCATACCTGATAGTACTGGTCGCAGACCCTCGGGAAACAGCTCAGCCTTTTTCAAACTACACTTGCCTTCATTTAGCTTAAAGGTT